ACAAAAAAACAGGGTTAGGGATTCCCCATTGTAGGCTGAGTAGTCTGTCTCTTTCTTGCCAATTTGTAATGCCACCACTTTTAGCAGTTAGTAGTCACTTCCAGATCAAATGCTCCAAGTATACAATTAGACTGACCTTTCTCAGTTTTTAATTGACTTTCCATGATGACAAATGGAGATTTCACTTTTGGCCCTGCCCCTGTGCACCCTTCCTCTATCTCCCAGGTCTTTTGATAATTTTCTTTCCAACATTTTCTTCCTTTGTGTGTATGTGTGTGTGTGTGTGGGGGGGGGGAATTCCTAATGGTTTGATTTTTAGTGCTGCTTCTATTATTTTGTTATCTCTTCTCTCCATTATAGAAGATGACTTATAATTATTGCCCAAATATTCCAACAAATCTATTAATAGGCCCATCTTGTTTTTAATATTCAAGAGCTCTTTTTTGTTATCTGGCTGTTCTTGTCTGATAGCATCCAGTTTTTTGTGCAAATACACTATATTCTAAGAAGAGTATTGCACAGCATTACACAGATATGGAGGTACTCTGCTGGGGAAAGCTGGGAATTCAGGCAAGTTAACAGCCCAGAGCAGCACTATCCCATGGAACTATAATCTGACTCAATGATGTCATTCTAAATTTTCTGATAGACACATTGGAAAAAGTGAAATGAAAGAGGTTGAAATTAATTTTAATAACATTTTATTTAATCCAATATATCCAATATAATATTATTTCAACATGTAATCAACATAAAAACCTGTTAATATTTTACATTTTAAAATTTTATTCACAGTACATTTTACATTTAAGTATATCTTTATTTAAACATGTCACATTTCAAATGCTTAGTAGCTATGTGTGACCCATGGCAATTAGGTTGTATGGTTTGGATCTGCAGAGAGCTGCATCAGCCGTGCCTGCAGGCTAAGTTCAAATCTGCTCTGAGATCCTGAAGAACGTACTTTCCAGCCTGGTTCCCGTCTTCTTGCAGGTTGCTTCTGGAATTTGCTCCCAACAGCCTGGCCTCCTGAATGGTGGGGCCTGGTGCCTTGCTCCATCCCATGTCCCCAGTCAACACCCATCCTTCCCTGCATAATTTCCCCTCTTGGACACCATGTGTATAATTGCATTTGCTCCTGATCTCAACCCTTTCAAAGTTTTGGTTCCCCCAGGGATCACTTCACATGACCTAGTTCTGTAAGCATCATTCTTGGGCTCTACTTAATACCCCCAGGCTGCTGCCCAGCTGCCCCGGCTCTTAAACTGGCTAGAAATGCTGCAGCCTGAAGGTGTCATGAAAGGCTGAAAGGAGCTTGTCCTTGTTACACTGTCTGGCCAGCAGCCAGATTATCTCCAACCTCAAACTCCAGATAGGGTGTGGGCTCCCGCTTCACTCACAGCTGCCCAAAAACTGGTGTGGCCTGGGGCTACTGTGTCTAGAATCTGGCCTCTGGGCCTTTGCATGGGTAGAGAGCAGACAAGGTCAGGAGAAATGCAGCAGGGGCCAGTAGGAGGAGGCAGAAGAGATGTCCCCAACTCCTTGGGGGTAGAGGGCCTGGAACGAGGAGCCCCAGTCTGTACCCAGTAGGATCTCTGAAGGCCAGGCTGGACAGGTGTGACTGGTGAGTCAGCCCTGGGCCCCTGCCACCCTCCCTTTACTTACAGCTCACACAACAGCTCAATTGTATCATTGCACTTAGCTTTGGCTTGGGTTCCAATACAGGGACTTAGCCCAGGGACCTCTAGAGGACAGAGAGAAACAGCTATGAGAGAGGTCTTTGTGCAAATCTGTCCTGCAGGAAGGAGCCCCAGGGGTATGGTCAGCATGGCTGTTGCTGACAGCACAGTGTAAGAAGAGCTGGTTTCAGCCATTGGCTTGTGATGGCCAGTGGGTGTCAGAAAGCGACTGGAGGAAAGTTTATCAAATAGGTGGATAATTGCTGTGCATTTTAAGCAGACGTTCATACAAAGGACTCTGAGAGTCTGAACTCCAAGAGAAGTCAGCAAAGTCTCAAGATATTGCAATAATATTTAACCAGATGAATAATTTGAATATACTGCATTTACCTTTTTGTCTGCTGTCATCACATGCAGAAACCTATTTAAGACTGTTTGAAAAGAAAAAAGCAGGGTTGTTTAGGTCAGCTGAGAGTCTCCTGGGGCCAACACCTTAGCACCTCCTGAAGAAAAGCTTAAACCCTTTTGCAGGAAGTGAAATTTCTGAACAGCTATGACTTATGTTAATATACTGCAGATGTGCTATCGCAGGCCATAGCAGGGCACTAATCTGAGGCAGAGATGAGGATGCTAAGACTTACTCAGCCAACTCTTGTCCAGAGTGTCAAACACAGATGTTGCAAGGGGTATTTTCTAGGTCTTAGCATCTTGTATTCTAAAGGAAATAGGGAGCAGAAGGGTTTTTTCACTGAACGTTGTATTAAGATCTTCAAAGTGTATCCTCCGTGGTCCCAGGTTTGACCAGCCTGTGGGCTCCATGTCGTGACATTATCAAGGATAACTCTAGTTTTTTTGTAGCTTTATCCCATTCATTAACACCAGGTCTCCAGCCCCACTCAAAGTCTCGCCCAGTCATTTCCAGAGACACTGGGTGAGTCTGTGAGGATCCCTTGCATTCTTTTAGGGAGGCTTTTCTTGCCTACGCCCACCATTCTGGCCCCGTTGCATGTAGAGGAATGCCATTTTCTTCAGCATCTGTGTCCCCCAGTGAGCTCACATGGGAACCTGCGGTGTGAGGATGAGGACTGTTCTCAGGCAGACATTACGCTCTCCTTTTCCTTTTCTCCTCCCCCACCCCCACTCCTTTTTTCTTGTTCTGTCAGGAACCCTCATGGAAACGCATTTCTGCCTCACCTCCCTCCTATTGTACATTCACAGACAAGTCTGCACCTAAGTATCTCAAATAAGGAGGTTCCAATACTAGTGGATTATTTGAGAACTCAACTCTGGGGAAAACTCTCAGGGTGTAACAGGATGTAAACTGGGACTCTCTCTCTTTCAGTTTTGGCAGGAGCCCCCATGACTGAGGACAACATGGTGGGTTCATCTCCCAAGGCAGAATGACGGGTGCTGTGCCCTGAAGCAAAGTGCATGGAGACTGTGGAGCCAGTTCTGCCGGTTCTTCCTGTCACCCAGGAAGGCCTCAGAGCAGGTTCTGGTGCAAGAGATTGAGAGTGAGGAATATGAATGGGTTGCCCACACCCCACAGAGAAGAAGGACTTCCCCTTCTCTCAAGAAAAGTGATTTGGACTTCATGAGAGTTGGATATCATGTTGCCTAGAGTTTGGGAGGAAGAGAAACTTTTGTTTCCCTCCTGCTAAGCCTAAGGGCTAGAGCAGCTCTTCGGTGGGAGCAGAATGATGAAAACAGGCTGGGTTGGAAACAGGGGGCTCCCAGCTGGGTTGAGAATAGTGTGTGTGCATTTGCATGGCAGGTGATACGTTTTGGAGAGCTGTCAGGGACCCTGTAAAGAGGACCTGGCCTGGAGTCATTGTAAGGGGTGTCCCATCAAGAACGACTGCCTGAGACAGAGGAAGCCTCCAGCAGAAGCTCAGAGGCCATGGGTAGAGTCAGACAGAACCAGCCAGAGGACAGACACCACCCGCATGTTCCAGCAGGGGGATTCCAAGCATTGGCCAATGTACTCTGTGGGAGGAAGAGCCAGCACTTGCACATCTATCCACATCCTGATTACAAAGGAGCTAGTCAGGAAAGCCATTTCCTCCACACACCACAACTTTCTGCCCCTTTCCAGCCCATTGCAGTGAGAGGGAGGTGGGGAGGCAGGTGAGGAGTAGGGAAGGAGCCACCACACTGTCCCCAGTGCTGCAGGTTTCCAGTCAGCACAGGCCCAGGCTGGGGTCACTTTAAGCTGGATGAAATTTTGGAATCTTGCTGGATAGAAATTTTCAACTATTGAAACAAGACTGGTTTTGTGCCTGAAGGAGTCAAGAATATTGAGAGACTTTCTCAAGATTTCATGCACAGATATGAAAGAAGGAAAGAGTTTAAAGGAGCCGTGGGAGAATAAATCATTTTCTGCTTGCCCCTGATGAAGCCAGTGTCAGAGAGCACCGTTAAACACGTTCACACACAGTCACTCACAGTTAGTCTACAAAGAAGAATTTAAAATACTATCTAGGCACAAATCTAAAGTGCTTGGGTTGTGAGAGGCCAATACCAGCTCATTGAGATCTCCACTCACTCAACATCTGCATATTGAGGACCATGGGTGCCGTTAGTGCCCTAAAGGCAGTATTTACTCAACTTGTTTTACTCAAAGTCTTATCTCTAAGCATCAAGAGCCTACCAGGTGTGGCAAACATCTGAGATCCGGTGAGAAAAGAGAGGCCTTCCATTTCCTGCCTCACACTCAGTTGGAGGCAAATACCATGGCAGCAGAGGAGCAGTGCAGTCACTTCCGCTACAGGATTTCAGTGTCATTTCTCTCATTCTCCCTCCCTCCCTACCTCTCTCTGCCTGCATACTTGAATTTATGTGGGCAGTGTAGAAGGAAAAGAAAATCTCAGGACCAGAATTCACAATGCCAAAAGGAAAAACTAAGCTGAAAGCTGAGTCATGCAAGACCTTTCCTTTTGATCCTAAGAAGATAGCTACAGATAAAAAGTTAAAACAGTCTCCCCAGGTAGCTGCTCTTATGTTCACCTTATCCATATGTAAAGTGCCAATTTACTGAGCATGAGGGGAATACCTAATTGACTATTCCCCTACCTGCTCCTTTTCTCTTGCAACATGTGGATTCAGTATGGGTGACCATACCCTCCCTCTCTTTCCTCTAGCCCACTTTCCTCCTTTAAATATTGAAGGCCCCAAAATTATCTTTGGAAAAATGCATAGACCACAGACTGTTCCTGTGGCTTTGTGTTTCTTTTTCCTGGACATGTCCTTATCCTTGGCAAAATAAACTTTTAAATTGATTGAGACCTGCAGTTGATATAATGCAACTGCACTTGTATTTCATAATATCTTTATGTGTTCTTATTACTCAGGTAAGCCATTTTTTTTTTTTTTTTGGTAAGCCATTTTTATTGTGAGAAAAATCAGAAGATACAAATACATTCGAAGGGAATAAATCTCACATCTTCCCTATCTCCCAACCTTAGTTTAGTCTATGTCTTTAATTAATTGGCCTATTTCTAGATCTATGTGTTTTGGACATGAGATTTCTGCTAAGATGGGTGAAGATTTCGTTTATTTACACATTTCACCTCCCCGTTCCCATCATTTCAGTTTCTCACATTAGTATTTTCTTTCTTTATAAGTTACCTTGGTGATTCCAGGTAACTGAAATAGACTTTTAGCCACTGTTTATCAACTATGGAAAGGTTATCTTGGGCTTTCCTTCAGCAATCTTCCCCTTTTCACTGACCAGCTTTTCATCTGTAGTTTCCCTTATGCATTGTTAAGGTCAACAATATTTCCAGATGCCAGCAGCCACTCCATCTTCTATGCTTTTTCCATTTTGTGACTCAGCATTCTCTCAAATCTAAAAATACTAATACATTCATTTTAAAGCAAGTATTTATTGAATTAGTTCTGTTTCCTCGGCTGTCAGTTCTTCTATTTGTAGATTGTTTTCTTTAGGTTTTGATAATCATTGGTTGTTTGCTCACCTGCCTATTGAATGCTAGTTTTGTTTGCCATAGCCTACCTCAAGTGACAGGTAGAATCCAGGTAACTTGTCAGTCTGGAGTCAGGGAGGCATCCACAAGCCACCACCTGTGTTCCACACAGAGTGCCTTGGAAGCCTGTGGATAAATGAGACAGTAGGCACTGCTGGGGCTGGGATTCTAGAATCAAGAATGTGCTGACAGTATGACTTGGGCTCATTTTGAATGCAGGAGCTAGAAACCAAGAAAGATAGCTGGTGACAGGCAGGAAAGAACTTGACTGTGTAAAAGCAGATATAAACCACCAAAGAAGATGAGCCCCAAAAACCTATTAGGGACCTATCTCAGGAAGACAGTATTACATCTCCTTCTAGCTACAGAAGGGCTTCATGGCATCAAACCCCATGTCTGGAAGTTGTTATTCATTAAATATTTACTGGGCACATACTTTATGACAGGTGCTGTGCTCCTCTCTGGGGTTTATACAAAATTAGGACATGTCCTTCACACGAGAAGCTCACCATCTATGGGAGAGGAAGACACATGTTACATACAGCATGGTGTGGTAAGTGCCACAGTGAAAATGTGCACAGATCCCTGGGAGGATCACACGTAAAAGCAGTATGCACCTCAAAACGAGGAGTGGATCTAGAGTCTCAGGTGGGAGATTCCTGAACTGAGTCCTGAAGACAACTGGGAGTTAGGTAGAAAAGAGTGGCAATTGGAGGCAGAACGATAAACTTTCTAGGCAGAAGGGAGAGTGTATGTAGCAAGATCAGGTGTCTGAAAATAAAACCATATGACTGGAGGTTGGTGAGATAAGGCTGCTGAGTTGGACAGAGCTGGGCTACCTACCTGCGTGAAGGTCCTTATAACTGTAAATGAGCAGGGAGGCGGTGTTTGCCTGGGGCTCTGGGTATTCACTGCTGCATAACGATCCAAAACCATGGCTGCAACTAGTGACGCTCATTTATTTTGCCCATGAATCTGCAGTTTGCACAGAGCTTATCAGGAAATGCTTGTCCTTGCTCTATGTGGTATTGCTAGTTTGCTGGGCTTGTGGGGGTGGGATCTGCTTCTAAGGTCATGGTGCTGGTGGTCAGCTGTGGGTCAAGCCAGGGCTGAAGGCCAGAAACCTTGCTGCTTTCCTCATGGGCCTCTTCCCGGGCCTGGCCTCCCTCGCCATATGGCAGCTGTGTTCCCAGGGTGCCTGTTTTACACAGTTGGGCATAAGTTGCCTCACCTTTTTGACCTCATCTCCAAGGTCACAGAGCATCGCTTCTTCTTCACTGTATTAGTAAAGACAGTCCCAAAGACTACTCAGTTTCAGGGATAGAGGAATAAGACTCCATCTCTTGGTGGCTGAATGGCAAGGTTTGAAAGAGCCTGTGGGATGAGCCATTTTTAGGAGATGTAACCCCTACTCCCACCCAAGGCAGCAAGTGTGTGGAAGACAGAAAGTGGGGTTTGAGCCAGAGGCAAGAGGACCTAATAGGAGACTTATTCAAGTGAGAAAAGGACACAGTGAAGAGATGAAAATGTGTTCCACAGTCTCCTAGTCTCTGGGAGTTAGAAAAGGAGGTTCAGAAATTATAGAGCAGCAGTCAGCCACAATCTCACCCTCTGGAGGCTTCTGCTGATGGTGGTGGTGCCCGGCTCTTGGTTTCCGGGCCAGACTCTGCTGTGGACAGTTGGCTAGCCTGGATCTGGGAGTTGTTTTTGTGTGCTCGCTCCACATCAGTCAGGGCCATGGTTTCCATGAAGAAGCCCAGTACAACTCACAAGGTCCTACTTTTCTCATGACTGGCAGCAACACACACTGCATGGACCAGCAATTCCAGGTGACTTTAGCACTGTGCTGTCCATGGAAACAAAGCCTCCCCAGATACTACTGCTGATGGGGAGCTATGTCCTGATAGCATGAATGGGTCTGACCCACTTTCAAAACACATGAACTCCTGATGGTGGCCTTTAGAGGAGGTAGAGGACCCTTATTCCAAATGCCTGGATGACTATTCAGGATAACATTCAAGAACGTTCAAGAACATTGCAGATGCTTCCTGAGAATGTGCTTGTTTTCAAGTCCATGGGTCTTCCAGCATCAGAAACTGTATACAGTTTCTGTATACAATAACAGTATACAATAACTGTATACAATAACAGTATTCAATTTGCTGGTGAAAGATGACAACAGTTATTAGGGAGTTTCCCATCTGTTCCTTCCCAGTCATGCTCATGGTTGTTCCTTGCAATTCAACCAGCACACATCCTCTCCATCAGTCTAGGATATACTTGTGTTCTCCCCACTGCAGGATGACCCCTTCACCTCTCACGTTCACCAGTAATGAGTGTGCTCATTTCAGGCTCAGACCTGTGGCCTGGGCTTTGACTCTTGGTTGTTATGAAGCAAACAAGCTGGGTGGCTAACAAAGTTCCACCATCTCAGAGACCTTTGGATGTGGACGAGGACCACTGAGGCAGACCCACAGAAGGAAATTCAACCTGGAATTGTACTGAGGTTGGCAGGTCAGGCTGCCACAGGCCCTTTCCCGTAGCCAGCAAGATCGAGTCTTCAAAAACTCAAGAGCCCCTTGCCATGGCATACCCCCTGTGAAAGACGTGTCCACCCCAGGGATCTGTCTGGAGAAGGCTATAGCTGTTCTTTACACTTCTCCCTGTTTGAATGCCCTTTCTATGCTGCCCCCACCATCTCTCTATGCCTAGTTTTGTTGCTTATAAAATAAGTGTGGGTCCAAGCAATCTCTAAGGCACCTTCTAGCTCAGAACGTTCTGTGAGTGTGTTTCCACACTGTATTAGTCACTGTTCTCCAAAGAAACAGAAACGACAGTATTTAGATAATTGGCTCACATGCTTATGGAGGCCAGGAAGCCACATAATCTGCCATCTGCATACTGGAAACCCGAGAAAGCTGGTGGTGTAATTCAGTCTGAGGCCAAAGACCTGAGAACCTGGGGGTGCCGCTGCTCTACACCCTGGAATTGGAAGTCCTGAAAACCAGAAGCTCCAAGACCTAAGGGCAGGAAAAGATGGATGGCCCAGCTCATGGCTCAGCTCAAGAAGAGGGAGAGAGAATTCTCTCTTCCTCTGCCATTTTGTTCTACTCACGCCCTCAGTGGATGGGATTGTGCCCACTCCACTGAGTCAAATGCTAACCTCTTCCAGAAACACCTTCATAGGCACTTCCAGAAATAATGTTCAATGAGATATTTGGGCACTCCTTAGCCCAGTCAGGCTGATGCAAAATCAACCCATCACACACAACTTTCCCAGGCAAAGAAGCAGAGGGTCTTGATAATCACATGAGTGCAACTCTTTGAAGTACATTTTTAAGGAGCAAGAATTGGCCAAGGTCATCCAATGATTCCAGTTTCTTGAGTTTCTTCTTTCCGATGACTTTTTCCTTTCTTCCTTCTTGGTTACCAACTGCACCGCCTCCAAATTTGCAATTCACTTACCTGTTTTCCAGCCGCAAACCAGAAGTTGTCCTTCTGGTTCGTTTACTTAATCTTTCAATCTCATTAAGGCCTCCCAATTCATTGATTCCTGGCATTTTCTCTCTCTCTTTTTTTTTAAAATCAGTTTTTCTTTACTTTCCACCTTATGAAATTTATATCCCATGGTTTATCTTCATAACTATAGTAGAGTCTATTTTATCCGATGTGATTTGGTCTGGCAATTGGTAACTTAAGTAGAAAAAGTTCAAAAAATAAAAAAAGTAAGTTAAAGCTGGCAGTTCTAAAAAATGACATATACACCTTTGAACCATTATTTTAGCTAATAACATAGAAATTGGGATTAATTTGCTTAGTCTTTTGAGTTATGCTCATGCCTTTCCTTTGAGAAAGTCTGCTAATTAGACTTCTGTGTTCTTGTTTTGCTAAGTCACTATAAAGCCTCCTCTACAACTTCCAATTTGGTTTTCTTTAAAATGGAGTGAGCATGGAATGACATTTGGAAGCCATCTGAGTGCAGTTATGTTCTTACAGTAACATGTAAGCTTGAAATAACAGGTGTTGCAACACTTGTAAGCCCAGAACAAACAGAACTGAAGAGTGGAGGATGGGTGCTCGTGGAGCCATCTGGGCGCCTCAGCCCATAAGTTCAATAAAACCCTCATGCTCCTGAAGGCTCTGTCTCAGCCTTTTTGCCTCCGCAAGCCCCTTTCCGATCGGCCTTCTCAGCCCTTCCCTTATGTCTGATGGCCCTGCCTCTATCACTAGAGCCAAGGACCTTAGAACCAAGCAATGCCATGAAAGAGTCAGCTGGGTGCCTGATAATCTATTTAAGAATTATGGCCCTAGCAGGAGAACTAATATGAAAAGACTCCCCCAGAGAATGGCCTAGAAAAGAGATTGGTTGCATCCAATAAGGTACAGGTAATAGAAAACAGCCATGACTAGGGAAACAGTTAGCAACTAGGTCATCAGGATCCATGGGGTGGCAGGGAGCACCTGCTGGAAGGGGGCAGCCAAACCCAGGAGGAGCTCACACTTAGCCTGTCAGGGGTTGCAGGCAAGACCCCAGCCAGTGTCTGGGTCGGGGACCTTTCTGATTTTTGTTTTTAATTGAAAACTCCCAGCAGCTGAGAAGGTAAACTCACAAACTTCCTAGAAAAGTTACACCAACATTGTTGGGGATGGCCATGATTTCTTTTGTATGTAAACATTTCTTAATCCCAGGGAGATTTTGAGTCAAACTAGAAATGTTTAAGAGAATCAAATTAATAGTATTAATATTTTTGAGATTAAATATCTTGTACAAATTTGGTAGTTTAAGTGTTTGTAAAATTTAAGATAATTGGGGCTGTTAATTTAAAATGTATAATTAAACTTAGGGTTTTTATTCTAGGTTATAATCTTACTAAATATACAGCATTGGAGCATTTAGAAGAATTAAGACTCAGTATATTTCTAAGTTTATTAGAATTCCAAGGATTACTTAAGTACTTGGAAAGGTTTGTTTGTTAATTAGGTAGCTTAAGTGCTTCAGAAAGGAAATGGAATTAATAGACACATAAGTGTTAAAATACTTAAAGGAGTTTAATTCAATTTAAAAATGAAAGTAGACATTAACCCAAGTAATTAAAAGGACTTGCTAAATGCTAGGTTTATAAATAGAGTAAAAAGACCCGAATGCCAAATTTAGAAACTGAAGGAAGAAACAGGGTTTGGTAATTGTATCTTTAGTTTTTAAAACTCAACTTTTTTGAGAGTAATTATTTTTGCATTCAAAACCCATCCTTGAGGACACAAAACTCTCTCACTGACAGCCTCAAACTTCCTGGGGGAACATCAGACAGGTCCCCATCCTCCTCTGGTCATCCAATCCCAGGCTTCTTCCAGGCAGCAGCAGTCGCGTTGCTGCGCTACCGTCCCAGGCTCCTCTAACGTAGCTCTGACGCCCTCTTACATCTTCACTTCCCCCTCTCTGGGACTGTTAGCACAAGCCAGTAAACAAACTCTGGTGTCTCCGTCTCATGAAATGTCCCCCAAGTCCTCCAGCTATTTCTCCTTCTCAGCTCCCAAGTTGTCTTCATCCTCCGCCTGGTCCCTCCTTGGTCTTCTTCAATCTGCTCCACCCAAACTGCTCATGTCGAGGTCACTGGCTTTTCTGCTGCTGTCCCAGTGGGTTTGGTCTCTATCCTTATCTGACTTGACTTCTGTCTGGCCCTGCCTCCCTCTTTCTCTTCCTGTCTCTCTAATCTTCTTCCTAGTCTCCAACTCTAAGAGGACACTGCTTCTGAACCTCCCCTTCCTCTTTCTCTGTGTCCTATCCCTGGACAGCCCACTTACTTCCCTGGCTTTAAATGCCATTTGTACCCCGAGAAGTCCCATATTTTGTACCAAGATTGGCACATGCAACTGTCTTTGGCAACTCCCTTTCAGGGCTCATAGCATCTCGGATTTACCATGATTAAACCTTGGTCAACTGAACGTTTAAAACTGAGCTCCTGATGGAGTGAACATTTTTCTACTTTGGACTATTTCCACCTCAGTCTTGTTCAAGCTGGCCAGCAGCCCCCTTCCACACCACCTTCAAGCACTGCATGCTCCAAGCTTATCCCTGTCTCCCTCAGGGCCCACACAGAGGGCTGTTCCACTTAGTGCTTTGTCTTTGGGAATAGCTGGCTACTTCAAAGTCTCTAAATGTTAGAGTTAAATCATAACTCTTCAAAAAGGCTGTTTTAAAAATTCACTCCAGGGCTGGGTGCGGTGGCTCACATTTATAATCCCAGCACTTTGGGAGGCTAAGGCGGGTGGATCACTTGAGTCCAGGAGTTCAATACCACCTGGGTAATACAGTAAGACCCCATCTCTACAGCAAATATGAAAATTAGCTGGGCAGGTGGTGCACATCTGTGATCCCAGCTACTTTGGGGGCTGAGGCAGGAGGATCACTTGAGCCCAGGAGGTTGAGGCTGCACTGAGCCATGTTTGTGCCACTGTACTCCAGCCTGGGAGACAACCTGAGACCCTGTCTCAAAAAATAAAATTTCTGTGTTTGTATCTTGGCAAAACAAAAATAAATGAATAAAAATTCTCTATTTTTGTTTTAAAATCATCCTGATTAAGTTAGGCAACCAATTCATTTTGGACTCCCAGTTCAAGTGATCCTTCTGCCTCAACCTCCTGAGTAGCTGGGATTACAGGTGGGCACCACCACACCTGGCTAATTTTTGAATTTTTCATAGAGATGGGATATCACCATGTTGGCCAGGCTGGTTTTGAACTCCTGACCTCAAGTGATACTCCTGGCTTCGACTCCCAAAGTGCTGGGATTACAGGCGCGAGCCACTGCGCCTGGCCGACTCATTTCCATCACAACTTTGTTTCTCCATCAATCCATAACTTACATGATTTGTTTTCTTATATACTGATTCCCATAAAATGCAAGATCCCTGAGGGCAGAGATATGTATATATTTTTTTGCTATTGCAACCCATGGCCTAGCACAGGAGCCAGCATCTCAACAATGGTTGAATGAAGACCTACAAATGTGCATGAAAGAGAAAGGGGGTCTAAAGTGTGTAGATACAGATAAAACTTTTGAGTCCAGCTGTCCCAGTGGGCCAGGTTGCCTGCCCCTATTTTAGAGGATTAAATCCATTAAAGTTACAGACAGAAGGGAAATGGTGATGCTAAGACTACTTTTATTTTTACTTTATTTTATACTTAAAAACTTTTTTATACTTTTATTTTTTCATTGCTCAACATGGCCAATGTAAATGCTAATTATCTTCGAGCAACAACTTTGAGAACTAATCTCCAGTCTCTTGCTAATTTTCTTTCAGATTTCCACTTTTCCAAATTTGGGTAAACTAGACTATGCATATCACTTGTGGGTTAAGGTAGCTAAAAACTAATCTTTCAAGATGGTACTGTAGCATGTAAGTTAAATGCACTTTTTAATGCTGAGATGCTGTGGGTTTGAGGATATGCAGGCACTAAAGTTTAAGTTCCCACATCCAGTTACAGATGGGAGATTAAATTCTAATGGGATGACACTTTCTCTACATTTCATAAAAATGTCAACATTGTGATACCCATTAGAATGGCTACTCTCAAAAAAAAAAAACCAAAAAAAAAAAACAGAACATAAGTGTTGATGAGGATGTGGAGAAATTGGAACACTTATACACTGTTAGTAGGAATGTAAAATGGTACAGCTGCTATGGAAAACAGTTTGGCAGCTCTTTAAAAATTTAAAAATAACAGTATCATATGATCCAGCAATTCTACTTATGGTTACATACCTCAAAGATCTGAAAGCAGGAACTCAGACAGATATTTGCACACCCACGTTCACAGCAGCATTATTGGGAATAGCTGGAAAGGTGGAAGCCACACAAATGTCTATTGAAAGATGAATAAACAAAATGTGGTCTATCCATAGAATAGAATATCATTCAGCCTTAAATAGGAAGGAAATGCTGACACATGCTACAACATGGCTGAGCTTTGACAACATTGTGCTAAGTGAAGTAAGCCTGTTGCAGAAAAGTTACATACTGTACTGTATGGCTCCACTTTAATGAGGTACCTAGAGTAGTCAAATGCATAGAGAAAGTAGAATGGTGGTTCCCAGGGGCTGGAGGGCTGCAGGATGAGCTGTTGTTAATGGGGACAGAGTATCTGTGAAAATGAGAAAGCTCTGGAGATGGATGGTGATGACGGTGGTACAACAGTGCGGATTTATTTACCACCACTGACCCGTACACTTAAAAGTAGTTACGGTGGCAAACTTTATGGTATGCATATTTTCCTACAATTTTAAAAAGCATTGCAGACCACATCTGTTACCCAACTTAAAGGATTTTTCAAAAGTACTGCGGTAGATTTAGACAGATAAGAAATAACAGCTCCAGCCAATGGCACCCTGGGCTTGAAGATCCAACTCAGTGGAACACATTCTCAGATGCCATGTGGTCTTCAGCAATGATAGAGACACAGGAGCCCAGAGGTCTGTCCTCTCCAAGGCTTGCATGAGCAAACTCAAGGTAAATGGAAGTACCACTGAAACCTAGAATATACTTTTTGGCCAATGGTTAAGTTGTCTTCATTAAACATTGGCTTAATTAAGGGTAAGAACTTTCTAGTGGCTTAAAGTGGGTTTGGGTTACCTCCAATTAAGCCAGAGAGAGAAGCCTGCTACCTTATTTTATAGGTTCTCTTTTCCTGTTGTCAATCAGTCAACAAATGTCTGTTAAGCACCTAACGTGTACAGGGAACACATATTAAGAACTTTGGGAAAAGTTTAAGTTTTTTGTGAATCATGAAATTGAGAATATTCAATCATTTTGATTTAAAAAAAATGGCAATATCATATATTCAAGTTGAACTGTTGATAGTCTAATGGGGGAGAAAAGACATGGAGAGATACAAGAAAAGCTGGCCAGCAGCAATCAAGTCTAGCCCTGGTGTCACATAAACACTGCTGATCTCCCAGGAAAAGGAGCAGCATGAGAAAGAAGGAGCTGGGACATCAGGGCTCAAAGGGCAGAGCAAGTCCCCATATCACAAAAGTGCCTGGGGAAGAATGTGAACCCAACAGGGAAAGGTAAGTGCCTGTGCTGAGCCTCTTTGTGGAATTTTCAGAACACAGTTTCTAATGAGCAGACGTGAGAAAGTGAGCTTGGAAGGGAAGCTGAAGCACATTTGCAGAGTCCACGTCTCGGGTTGTCTGTTAGTTTGGATTTTATCCTCTATCCCCTTGGGACAGGAGGGAGCCAATGAGCCTTCCTTGATGGCAGTGAAGTGATGAGAGTACAGCAGAGGTTTAGGAAGGAAAGACTGCGGAGGAAAGAAATTATAGGAAGGCTGTGCCATTAAAAATGACTATTTAGTCTGGCAGAAAGCAGCAAGAAAACAGACCAAATGCCTGGGGGTTGAGAATAGGAAATCATATACTGGGGTTCAAGGGGGTGGGTGAGGACCTTATGAAGGAAACAGGTGGTGCTGGAGTTGGAGGCAGATATGTGGGGCAGCCGCTAAATGAGAAAGGCAGGAATCAGTGACAGGTGAGCCTTTGACCCAAGTCATGAGGAGAGTCATGGCATCACACTTGGCTTGACTAAATGCCAAAAGATGATGGAACACTAGAATTTCGCAAGAAAAGAGTGTGATGCATGAACCATGTGCAGCTAAGCAAGCATTTGTTTTCAAGAGCCATATAAAGGCATTCTCAGATATAAACAGATTCAGAGTACACTGTTCTCTTTTTCTCAGACTGATTCACTCAGTGCTTTTAAACTAATCTATTGAGCACCTACTAGGCGCCAAGCATTGGTCTATTTAGGATATATCGGTTAACAAAACAAATACCCCTGTCTGTATTGGAACTTCATGCTAGCTGTGTGTATGTTGACAGTGAGAATAATAACCCTAGTAAGTAACTAAATTATTCATGTTAAAAGTTGATAAGTACTACGGGGAAAGATGAAAGCAGAGAAAGAGGGGAAGTTTCATTATTAGTGGGATAGGCATGGTAGGCTTCACCGAGAAGGGTATTAAAAACTTTTTCTAGATTACCTAGATTAGGAATTCAGTATTTTGCAACACCAATCTGCCCACTGACTTCACTACATTCAGAAATTTGCAAATAATGTTAACAAGTACTTTTGGTAAAAATATTGACTAAAGAGAAAATTTTTTTTTTTTTTTTGAGATGGAGTTTCTCTCTTGTCGCCCAGGCTGGAGTGCGACGCTACAATCTGGCTCACTGCAACCACAGCCTCCTGTGTTCAACCGATTCTCCAAATTGCTGGGATTGCAGAGGTAAGCCACCATGCCTCGCCAGAAAATAATTTTCTAATACCACCAGGAAACCAAGCAAAGTCCAGAGCAGACATTTTTCTCCTAAATATTTTCCTACCACCTGTACAACCAAAATGAGTATCTGTTTTTACTCAACCCAAATTTGGTTCCCTGCAATTTAAAATATGATTAAAAAAAGATGTATACAAATGTGAAAAAAATTAAAATTCTTCCAAATGATTTCTAGATGGATTTGTAACCAGTATCACCTTCCCTACCTCAAAAAAAATCACAACCTGAAAGATTTTCCACCACAGATAATCCAAGGCTACCCCATGGTATATGGGTGGAGAGTTCCCAAAGACAAATTCCAAATGCACCTTTCACAAAGAGAGGACCTGTAATTTTAGAACACCTAAGGCCACCACTGTCACAGAACCAACGGGATGTGGATACTATTTGGACGTCTGCTTTTTTTTTTTGAAATGGAGTCTTGCTCTTTCACCCATGCTGGAGTGTGGCGATGCAATCTCGGCTCACTGCAACCTCCACCTCCCAGGTTCAAGCGATTCTCTTGCCTCAGCCTCCCGAGTAGCTGGGATTACAGGCGTGTACCACCACACCCAGCTAATTTTTGTGTTTTTAGTAGAGACGGGGTTTTGTCTTGTTGGCCAAGCTGGTCTCGAACTTCTGGCCTCAAGTGATCCACCCACCTTGGCCTCTCAAAGTGCTGCGATTACAGGCGCAAGCCAGTGTGCCTGGCCGGATGTCTGCATTCTGATTGGGCAAGTATCTTAGTTTCATTACCTCACTGTCAAGCCTCCCTCATTGTATTATTCTCTGCTCTTCACTGCACTCAATGGGACCTCCTTGGCACTTGTGGTAATGAATACTGCTGACATCCATTCCCCGTGGGACTGGACGGAGTTCTAGGTTGAAATCATTTGAGCAGTGTCTCTATGGTACTACATGTAGGTGTGGTCTGAAATCTTGTATTAGTCACTACTAGCTTCATTTAGATAATTTAGCACATTAACCTATTTTTCCTTTTCATTATGCCTATTTAAGAAGATATACAAATGTGCTAAGCATTTCACATTATGTGGTTTACTTTGTCTAAATGTACAACCATGCTTAACGACTGTAACATCCTCCTCAAATGGCTGTATTAAAAATGCAGCTCTCCACCAGTGTTTTGGAGGCACAGAGTTTTCAGCACTGGCTGGAGGTCAAGCTGCTGGTGAGGAGTGCCCAGGCTCAGATGCAGAGCGTGTGCCGATGGAGGCGCACTCCACCACCATGAGCACAGGCCTCTGCTTTCACAAGTCCGCTGATTTTCTGGACCTGGGGCTTCCTTAGCCCATGACCTAATCTTGGAAGGCCACATGCCCCTACCAAGCAGCAGGAGCTTGAGGACAAGGCCCTGGTGACCTGGTTGCTGACCAAATACTGGCCCCTGGAGAGAAGCTCAGGCATTTTTGAAAGCTGTCAAAGGCAAGCTTTCACACCAGCTGTCAGGCTAGTCTATCTTCAATGGTCATTTAGTGTCAGGTAGCAGCATCTGCCAAAGACAGAACGGCACGAGTCTTTCCAGTGAGTTTGTATGGCTAGTAGCTATGATGTGGGAAACCCGGTAGAGGTTAAGGCAAATAAGACAGTTAACAAAAGAAAAAAAAAAAACACTCTAAGCCTTTAATATCAGACATTTCTTTCTTTCTTTTTTTTTTTTTGAGATGGAGTTTCGCTCTTGTTACCCAGACTGGAGTGCAATGGCACTATCTCAGCTTACCGCAACCTCTGCCTCCTGGGTTCAAGCAATTCTCCTGCCTCAGCCTCCCCAGTAGCTGGGATTACAGGCACGCGCCCCCATGCCCAGCTAATTTTTGTATTTTTAGTAGAGACGGGGTTTCACCATGTTGACCAGGATGGTCTCGATCTCTTGACCTTGTGATCCACCCGCTTCGGCCTCCCAAAGTGCTGGGATTATAGGCATGAGCCAACGCGCCCGGCCGACATTTCTTTCTATATCAGTAGTCCCCAACCTGGATTGGCTTTGTAGAAGACTTTTCCACAAACCAGTGTGTGTGTGTGTGTGTGTGTGTGTGTGATGGTTTTGGGATGGAACTGTTCCACCTCAGATCATCAGGCATTAGTTACATTCTCATAATGAGTGCACAGCCTAGGTCCCTTGTATGTGCAGTTTCACAGTAGGGTTTGAACTCCCAAGAGAATCAATTGCTGCCACTGGTCTGACAGGAGGCGGAGCTGAGAAAGTAATGCTCACTCACTTTTCCACTGCTCACTTTTTATTGTGAAGCCTGGTTCTTAACAGGCCATGGACCAGTAGTGGTTCATGGTTCAGGGACTGGGGACCCCTATTCTATATGGTCCAAGGAGATGGGCATGCTGTAGATGGCATGTGCTGAGAGTAATGTGTTTCCCCAAAGGTGTCAAGTAGGCTAGACTAGAACTCAAAGTGCAGGTCCAAACCATCTCATTGGAAGCTTCCAGCAGCATGTTAAAAATGCATATAGAGACTTTTTGGGGCAAGGCAGCCAACTAGTTGCAGCTAGGTGGAACAGCTACCACTGAGGGATGAGTATCACTGGCACAGTTTTAACAGATCTTCAGAGGGAAGGCACTGAGAGTACTCAGAGGGAAGACACAGAAGCTGAGCTGAATGGGAAGTTGGGAACCCTGCATGGGAAGGGTAATGTGCACCAGGACTCACTCCTAGCCCGCAACAACTGGGGGAATGGGTGAATTGAACTGACAAGGAGCAACCTACTCTCACCACAGGCCTCCGGAATCCTGGTAGGAGGAGACCCCTCGATCACCATAAACACTCGAGTTTGCAGGGAGAGCTGCTTAGAGAAGTGGTAGTGGGTCACGCCAGCTGATGTGGAGCCCAGAGGGTTTGATGTGGGAGCATCTGCAATGGAGCACAGCCAGGGACGCCCAGCCCCCTAGGCTCGACTTATTCTCATAGGAGACTTTAGCCCTCTGGGAACTGTCAGGCCTGAACTCTGCAGAGCTGTCTTGCCCACCAGACAGGGCCAGTCTGATATGAGCACCCTTGATCTGCTGGCCTATCCTGAGGCCCCAGCCTGGCTGAGGCCACTTGCAGGAAAGCCTCAGTTATCTTGGGGGCCCACATCCTGCACTGGTGGACCACGCCTGACTAATGGAGAGCTCCAGTGAGGTGGCCCCCACAGCTATGCAGCAACCTGCTTGCTTCCTCTCCGCCCAGAAGCTTCCCTGAGGCCCACAGCCACCCCCGACATTGCTTTGCCAGAGTGTGTGTGCCAGCAGGTTTTTCCTTCCCTGCCCTGCCAGTGAGCATGTCCGCTCCGCATGCATCCAACATTGCCACAGAAGTGAAACTCCCCCAACTGGCTAGAGAGGTCAACATTCAAATTCAGGAAACGCAGAGAACCCCAGTAAGATACTGCAAAAGAAGATCAGTCCCACAACACATAATCATCAGATTTTCCAAGGTTGACATGCAAAAAAGAACATTAAAGGCAGTTAGAGAGGAAGTCACCTTCAAAGGGAACCCCATCAGGCTAACAGCAGACCTCTCAACTGAAACGCTACAAGCCAGAAGAGATTGGGAGCCTATATTCAACGTTCTTAAAGAAAAACAATCTTCAACCAAGAATTTAACATCCAGCCAAATTAAGCTTCATAAGAGGAGAAACAAATCCTTTTTTAGATAAGCAAATGCTGATCCCACCTTACAAGAGATCTTGAAAGGAACATTAAATTGAAAAGGAGGCCGGGCGTGGTGGCTCACGCCTGTAATCCCAGCACTTTGGGAGGCTGAGGTGGGTGGATCACGAGGTCAAGAGATCGAGACCATCCTAGTCAACCTGGTGAAACCCCATCTCTACTAAAAATACAAAAAATTAGCTGGGCATGGTGGCGCGTGCCTGTAATCCCAGCTATTCAGGAGGCTGAGGCAGGAGAATTGCCTGAACCCAGGAGGCGGAGGTTGTGGTGAGCCGAAATCATGCCATTGCACTCAGTCCTGGGTAACAAGAGTGAAACTCCATCTCAAAAAAAAAAAAAAAAGGAAAGTAAAGACTGTTATCAGCCAATATAAAAATACACTGAAGTACACAAAACAGTGACACTATAAAGCAACCACATAAACAAGTCTTAATAATAACCAGCTAATATCATGATGACAGGCTCAAATCCACACATATCAATACTAACCTTGAATGTAAATGGGCTAAACACCCCAGTTAAAAGGCACAGAGTGGCAAGGTGGGTCAAAAAAAGAAAAGAAAAATCCAAGACTGACTCATTGGTATGCTGTCTTCAAGAAACCCATCTCAAATAGGCTTAAAATAGAGAGATGGAGAAAAATCTACCAAGAAAACAGAAAACAGAAGAAGTCAGGGGTTGGAATCCAAATTTCAGACAAAACAGACTTTAAACTAACAAAGATTTAAAAAGACAAAGAATGGCATTACATAATTGTAAGGGGTTCAATTCAAGAAGAAGATGTAATTATCTTAAATATATATGGACCCAACACAGGACACATAGATTCATAAAGCAAGTTTTTAAGAGACCTTCAAAGAGACTTAAACTCCCATGCAATAATAGTGGGAGACTTCAACACCCTACTGATAGTATTAGGCAGATCAAGGAAGAAAATCAGCAAAGATATGAACTCAACATTGAACCAAATGGACCTGACAGACATCTACAGAAGTTTCACCTCAAAACAACAGAATATACATTTCTTCTCATCTGCACATAAGACATATTTTAAAATCAACACCATAATTGAACACAAAACACTTCTCAGCAAATGCAAAATAACTGAAATCAAAACAACCATTTTCTTAGACCACAGCACAATAATATTAGAGATCAAGACTAAGAAAATTGCTGAAAACCATAAAATCACAAAGAAATTGAACAAACTGCTCCTGAATGACTTTGGGATAGATAATACAATTAAGGCAGAAATCACACAGTGCTCTGAAACCATTGAGAACAAAGAT